GAGTGGCGTAAACAGAGAGGTGGCCAACCCTTGACTTGGCAGAGGAGTATGAAGGAGATTGGTGCTGTCGGTGCTACTCGCCTTCCAGGATGTGGACCGCGTGATCCTCACTGTGCCTGGTTGGAGACACTACAAGATATGGCTGCCAACCGATGTCAGTGGCGTTCTTGTTGTCAGTTTCTGTCCAGATTGCCTGAGTGAACGTCTAGAGGTGTAGGCACCTCGGAATGATTGTGTTAAGCTAGCACTAAGTCCCTTTCCCGTCCACCTTTATTCTTTTCTTTACAATAAGGCTTTCAAATAAGTCATGGTTGTACGGCAGTGAAGCATTGGTGTTGAACACTGATGTCATGCTGTCGTTGATGATGATGAGATTGATGTCAATTTATTATAGGTAATCCGTTACAAGTTCCCTGTTTCTGTCAGGCCTGACGAAGCGCAATTGGATATCCATATTTTGGAGTTTTGATGATGATGATGATGATGTCAATTTATTATAGGTAATCCGTTACAAGTTCCCTGTTTCTGTCAGGCCTGACGAAGCGCAATTGGATATCCATATTTTTGGAGTTGACTCCCACAGTTAGTAACTTTCAACATTGATTAGTTCAGCTTTCAACTAGCTACACCCATGAATCCCCATCGCTTCATATGCCGTAGAGTGAGGTAGACTTCAATCTTTTGCAAGTCAACGAAAGAAAAGCGGTCCAAAAACAGAGACGTCAAGACAACTTTACAAAATCAGTGTCGTTCTGGTTACCGTCGAGGTATCTGAGAAGACTGATAGAAGTTTGCAGACCACCTATTGTCAAGTCCGATAGAATTCTGGGTTTGTTGGGTGGATATAAACCACCGAATTTTCGTGAATCTTTTCTCCCGTTTGAGTATTGAATCGTTTTTGGACGTAAAATCCAGTTGGGTCTCTCGCGAGACACGAATTACTCGTCTAGTTGATGTCCTACAATCGATTATTCAGCGTAAAGTATGTCTTGTGGTTCAAGTAGACCCATACTCTGGGACCAATGTTTCTACATGTTGTCATATGCACGTGTGCAGTGGGAAACAGAATCCACATAGTTGGTCTCGTCCAATGGACCACCTGTGATAAGACCCACAATCATTTCTCACTGCCTTCTCTATTCTTCGTTTAACAGATCTCACAACAGAAAGAACCATTGTGATTATTTCGTTGGGTAGCATGCAAAAAATCTATCCTTACACTGTCCATAGATTCGGGTCTTCATCGCTAGCCATAAGTGACCTTGGAGGCTTTGCTTTAGTCAGCAAAAAGCAAGCATGTGCAAACGAAACCAGGCATGTGCACAAGGTTGTTTACACTGGACGAGACCGGGGCGTTTTGGTTTGCACACGCGCACATATTGTGTCCAACGGACGCGCTTTTTATGGGTCACTTTGTCATGTACGAGGGAACAATAAAAAATTCATACCGATGGTGTACATGATCTGACTCGGCGTATCGAATGACCAACTGGATATTCTAGTTATCCACACATATGGATGATGGGAAGCGCGTTACAATCGCCGCATCTGCTAACCGTATTCTGTATGCCTTGACTTTACTGTACTCCAAATGGATCGACCCAACCAACAACAGCAACAGATGTAGAGATAGCGGCCTGTATTCCAAACCGGAAAGATAAATTTACAACTCAAGTTCAGCTTAGCCTTAAATATATGTTGTCCGAATAGAAAGGCAAGAAGACCTCATTCTCACTTACTTTTTCAGACGAGAACGTAAAACAATCAGTCATTGTAAGGCTAAGCGCAGAAGGCGGACGATCATATCTATGACGGTGCTGGGTTTCGAGCTGGTGTGTCTGCTGTGGAGTTACCTTCTAATATTCTGCGTAATATGCACTTGGTGATGTGTTCCGCTGCATTACCTCAGAGAGTCCAGTTTGTTCCACCGATATACACGTCACCGCGGTTGTTAGCAAGCTGAAAATGAATGGATGGAAACATTTAAGAAACGGTTTAGGAGGTGAATATCCCTAGTTGTCTGTAGTGAGCCTATTCATTCTGCCCTCAGGTTTCACCTAAGATGGTTCGCCATGTGGTATCTCTTGAATGATAGCGTTGGAAAAACACTCGTATGAAGACTAGTCTTTTTCAGTTTAGGTCAGCTCCCCATCTCGATTACTCTTTTTTCCTATTCATTGGCAATTAAAGTTGACTTGACAAGTTTTCATCAGGTACCACTTGATCGAAAATAGACATTTTACGTGGCCGCTAAAACAGAATTCTTAACAAACACTTTCGTGTGCGACATTAAAAAGGATTGGTGGACTGGAGATACTGTCCAATCCAAGTGAGTCCTCGATATCCAGTGATCTGTCCAGCCCTTTTATAAACAGACCATCCAGATTACAAATCTGTTCACTGTCAGGTGAAACATAATGGCCGTGTGCGCGGAGTTCAAACGATTAGGAATATGTGCAAAATCTTCGATGTCAGTGATAAGCAGAAGATCGCCTACACAGCACTTGTAGAGCACGGTCATAGTAATGCCATCAATAAATTGTTTTTCAATCATTCTCAGGAAAACCTTAGTCAGTATTGGTCCTAGCTGACCCCCAGTAGTGATGTGCGTAAGCGCACTCTTCAAAAGGAACTTGGAGACACATGAAATTGAAACCTAGCGTTGTCTATCATGAAACATCTCTGCAGTAAAGGATTGGTGACCCTAACAACTTGTTCACTGTATTACTGCGATATCGTTCACTCTCCTTCTATTAGCAGGCCATCTTGTGTGTACCTAGACATTCGGAGCAGATTCCGAACCTACCTTCGAAATGACCTAGCTTATTCCCCCACCGCCGTCGCAAGCACATAACTTACCATCCATTAACAGTTGTCTGAATGTATAGCCACTGAAGTTCTTGCGATTTCGGTGGACGAAGGTGAGTGAAATGTGTGTCGTAGTCCCATTAAAGAAATCCAATGTTCCAGACGTCATGTGATATTTGAGGAAGGCCACGAAAAGAGGACTTTCAAGTTTCAGCTGTCAAGTTTATTCGGCTAAGCCAACAATTATCGATGACTCTGTCTGCACATTCGCATCAGATAAAACAACGTTAAAGAATCCGATGAGGAGGAATACAGACATGCACACAATTACGTGATATTATTTTGCTATTTTGAGTTGGATTAGCGCTTGCTTTATCCATCACAAATGCCTCGGAATTTTGTTAATATAATCTGATCGCTTTGAAACGAAAAAATCAACAAAACGTCTACTCACCTGCCGTGTTTTGCCAGAGGCATGCATCCAGTCAGTCGACTTAGTTCACCTGATACTTTGTCCAGTAGTCTCTATTGTCTTTTCTTGTGTATCGCCTTCGTTCACTACTGATAGCTGTCGGATCAACTTTGCTTACGGATTCCTGAGGCTCATGACTAGTAAAACTAAGGAGAAGAAAGTCCTTCAAAGATACATGCTTTTCAAGGAAGGTAGAAGGAATAGATTTTTCGCCAGTTCACTGTGGAAAGTGCATTGTTTAGGTAAGCCATCCACAAAATTTCATGAGAATTTGCTTTCTCTTTCTTCACATTCACTTCTCTCATTTCAACGTGTAAACATACTTCACCGGTTTTCTGCTACATGCTACCCGCATATCAATTCCGTTTGACCGGGTCAGTTATTTTGTCAAAGCAGGGTGAAGACATCGCGTGATATGGTAACATTTTTTAATGTCTTCAGCCGCTGGTGTAAAGCATGGATACATACTGGCTTTGTGGAACAGTCACGTGATCAAAAAGTCCGAGTCAGTACTTTTGTAGACGTAAGGCTATTTGGCAAGACTTCTAACCAACATTACCTCGGATAGTGCAAATGACTCGGATTTCCAGTTTCGTAACAAAACTTGCAAAGAATTTATGGGATTGTAGCGCATACCTATTTTCCGTCTTTCCTGATGAAAATT